ACAAAACTCTAAGGGCGGGGTGGTGGGGGCCCTCAAGGTTGGAGTTCAACCTTTAATAAAAGCTTCATCTTCGCCCTCGGGGTATAGACCAGTGGTGCAAAGAATAGGAGTGAAGTTATCTCACACTTTGCTGGCAGTCGTAGTATGGGGGTTCGATTCCTGAGACATGAAATTGGACTCCTTGTAGGCATAGTGTACAGAAAGCTCTTGTTCCCTGGTCTGCTGGAGTACATCCCGCGATTTACCTCCCTCACAAAACTCTAAAGGCGGGGCAGTGGGGGCCCTCAACGTTGAGGTTCAATCTTTTTTTTTTATTAAATAAAAGCTTCATCTTCTCCCCCACATGCATGGTGCAGTGATAAAGCAGGATGGTCCTATACGAAGTATCGGAGGTTCGAATCTCCGAGACAACTGGAAGGCAACATTTATATCGGAAGGCAGTTGTCATGTGGAGGCAAAATTATAGTACATTTTGTCATCCCTTCAGGGTCCTGTCCGCACGTCCTAAAAGGAGATTTACAGGGAGGAGAACCGCATTCCGAATGTCCTACTCAAGTGTGTATAAGCTCTGTCCGCATTCGGATTTATCTGGGTGACGAACCAGGGGGAAGGCCACTTTTCCTCAGAATTAGTCAGACGAAATTTGGACATATAAGTTATCAAAATAATAATAATAATAACAACAACAACAATAATAATAATAATAACAAATAAAAATAAAAGCTTCATCTTCAACACACCGATTTTGAACCAAATCTACACCAAGAAATTTAAGGGCACAGATTATTCTACACCTAAAATCACGCACAAATTTAACAGTAGCTCAGAGTCAAGAAAAATAAAGAAAAGATTTAGAATAAAAATATTCCATACACTACTTCTCAATTAGCAAGCTAATACATGGACATTCAATAATAAGAGAAATATTGATTGGAATGTCATCCATATTTTCTTCAAAAAGGTTTCTGTAAAATATGCTTATAGTATATGTTGGGCATGTTTGGTAAGTGATGCCCAAATCCCCTAAGTTATGATGAAAAATCGAGGCCCGTTTTAACTTCATAGGCTATAAGCCCAGGATTGAAGAATTAAATCCACACCACAATTGAAGTAACTCAATTATGTTGGGTATTTAGAGGTAATCAGCCCATTGAGTTAGATGCTCAATACCCAACTTGGAGGGAATTTGAAATTCACATGAAAGATGGATAAATATTATCGTTATCTTTGTCAAACCAATTTTATCTCGTTTTTGTCGGATGGGCTCTATCTTTCAATTTGGATATAATCTTGCAGTTTTTATTCAATCTAATCTTGCAGACTCCTGTAAAATTCGTTCACTCCTATAAGCATATAAATAGGAGACATTTCCCTTCCATTTAATACACCAAACCGAGAGCAAAAATAAGAGGAAGAAAAACTTCCCTGCTTAGTGCAAACCAATCCTCTCTTGCCTTTTCTTTGTGAATCTGTCTGAGTGACTGATAATGACCTTCAAATTGGAGACACATTTGTGGTGTGGATCAAGTTTCTGAGCCGAATTATAAAGGGAAAAATCGTTCCTTAATTTTTCAGATTTTGGTCTTGATTTTCTTCATTTTACTTTGCAAATCCTTACACTAATCAATTGTTTTGGTTAATTTGTAGATGGGTTTGCTTCTCAATTGGTATTGTTGCGGAAGCTCTCTCAAAAGGATCTTCAAACGGTGGTTTTCCAGACTCAGTCCAACGCACCTTTCTCAACCAACAACCAGTCCAATCGGCTCCAAACCCCAACCAATTGATTCACCTTGGTTGCTATGCAATCTTACCCACGTAGGATAAGAAATGATGATGATTTATGGCCACAAAGGCTAGGAGAAGACACCACAAAGTTATACTATGAAAGAACCACCAAATTTACACGTTATACAAGTGTTTTGGACACTTCTGGACACCTTTTTCTCACACAAAAGGGGGCAACCGGGATTCACTATTTCTTCTCTCAAAGTCACACAATCATCAGATGAAAGTGGCTAGGGTTATAACCAAATATATACTCTAGGGTTAGGTTTTAAGTTGGGCCATTAAAGGGGTAAACGGGCCAAGATTCAAGCTATCCATAAGGAATACAATTGGGTCGGGTGTAGCTCATGGAGTTGGTTGTTGGACTTATTTCATTCATCGGCCTATGCCTATGAAATAATATTAACCCACGTTAACATCATAACCCGAGATTTATTGGGTATCAAAAACCCAACAGTATATGTAGGTGGGATTAGCAAGGCACTGAACGAATTCGAGTTCTAGCAAGAAGCGTTGCGTCCGAATTGTGGGTCATGCCATGAAATTGAAAGAAGAAAAAGGAAGTGAGTTGGGAAAAGCGAAGCGAATAAGCTGATTTCATAGAGATTGTGTGCATTTCTAATGGCGATGTAAAATTCGCCAGCCCCCGCAAGAAATCGCGCACATGGCGGCTTTATGTATTAAAGGAACCTCCCCTGTACTCAACTTTCTCGAACCTGTTGGTGCATTTCCTCCGCCCACGAGATGTTCAGGCGGTTACGGTTGAAAGAGTTGCAACGAAGGAGTTTGATTTATTCAAATCCCCTTCATCTTCATCAAGTTCTTTATCATCAAAACCTAATGGAGTTCGCAATTGCCAATCGGAAAAAATGGAATTTGTGATGATGTTTACTTGTTTTGGTTTGTTTTATTGAGCATGATGTGTTTTAAGGGTCTTGTCCAACAGGAAAAGAACGGAGAAAAAGTAGGGATTTTTCTCGACGTTAAAGGAGGAGGTGAGGAAGATATTGTGGAGTCCAGAAGACTCGTGCCTTCTTCAAATCTCAGGAAAATATGTTGTGCACATATCAAAGTTAGTAGTAGCAGAACTGGAAGAAGAGCAATCTCAGAAAGAAAGAATGTAGAAAATAATCCTCAAAATAACAAAACTCATCTCTTAAGACACATCTACAGTACCATAACTGCAATCAAGGAGGATTACAAATAGTGGACCAAGGTATCAAAAAATAATCTATAGTCTTGCGTGTTGCATCTGGCTCGATTTGTCGAGAAGCTAGATCGAATTGAAGGAAATTTTGCTTCATGTTCTCTCTAATTTCGAGGATTGCAGCCATGTTTCCACAGCGGTAACAACGGTTTGGAGCACTAAAAATATGGAAGTACCATTTTACCCTCATTTCTTTTTGTTTTTTTAATTGTTTCATTTGTTATTTAATGTGGTAAATATAAAAGTATTATTTTACTCTCATTAAAATTGATTATAATGTGGTCAAAGTTAAATTTTTGGACAACTGACAAAATTGTAGATGAAAAACCATCCAAAAGGACTTCACCTGCAATGTTTGGAAATATTAGGGGCGATGATTGCAACAAATCAAAAGTTTAAATAAAGCCTGCCGGTGTTTTAAAGGTCCAGTACATTTACTGTAATTATCCCTATTAACTACCTTCAATATTACACGAATAGACTTGCATAAATTATTGTAAAGGTTATATTTGTTTGGTTTAATCCATTTTAACCTTTTTCGAGTCAATGAAAATACAGTAAGGATTGGTAACTTTAGGTCACATGCAAAATCTATGTGGAACAGAATTTCAAAGAATAAAAATGTTTTTCTTTTTTTGACATGGTTTATAGCTTCTTTCACCACTCCTCCCAACTCCATACAAATCTGAACGAAAATATGTATGAAATATAAAAGTCAAAATCAATAAAGGAATGATGGTTCAGTTTCTTGGTGAATTTTAAATGTCTTAATTGCAGGCCAAGGTCATCCTTTCCCAAAAATATGAGATGCTGGAAGATAACCTCTGTATATTCCACTTGTAAACAAGACATAACATTAATGATACCTTTAATGTAAAACTTTTGTGAATAAATTTTGTTATAAGATATTATTTTTTTTGAAGAAATGAATATCTAAAAGGTATGGAAAAGTTATCGATTCACATATCTATTAAGAGAATGTGGAATTGAAAATGAGTCCCTATTTGATGATAATAATAATAATAATTATTATTATTATTTGGAAAGAATGAATTTTTGAATTGTAAGTTTTGAGGAATATATTGTTTAAAAGTAGAAAAAAGTTTTGAATTTAAGTGAAAAATATATTATTGTGAGAATGTATAGTTAAAAATAATTATGAAAGAAAGAGTTTTAAAAGAATGATTGCCGAACATCCTTTGAATTTGTAAAGAAAATTTAGAATATGTACCAAAAATTGACTAAAGTTGATTATAAAAAAATTCAAGATAAAAAACTTGCTTAACATTCAAGTAATAAGAAAAAAATTTGGAATATTCTATTGAAAACTCAAATTTCTTTTTTCATTTCTTAACTAAGAAGACTAGCATCGAAAATGAAAATATCCATATAGGGAAAGCCAAATATCTCATCACGAGTCCCTAATTAAGTTCCCGTTTGTTTCTCATTATTTTTCCATTAAAATAAAAATACAATTGTTATTCATCATATCAAATCACCAAATTTGAATTTCTATCTCTTGTGTGGGGCTTATGATGTCTATATTTTTTATTTTTTTATTTTTAAAAAAATAGAAAACAAACGCCCCCTAAGTAAAAATTTATTTGAAGAAAAAAGTTGGAATATTCTGTCGAAAATTCATTTAATTTCATTTTTGGTTTCAAATTGAGCCCATGTTTGGTGAATATTAAAATAAAATTTTTAATAAATTTTGAAAAAAATTGATGAAAGATATGATTAAAAAGTGGTGAATGTCATCAAATACGTGACTAAAATTAATTATTTATTTTAAATTAAATTAAGAACATTTTATGCCATTTCAAACTACTACAGAATAAATAGAAAGGGCGAGTTTTGCTATTATAATCGAACTTTTACAGAATAACAATCTTGTACACTTTCTTTTACATTAAATTTGACATTGTGCCACTTGTTATACAAGGAATGGCCAGTTTTTAAAATACCATGAATTGCCTTAGAACCCTAATTGATCGCGAAACGCGGTTGCATCCCTCCAAGTAATCGAGAAAGCGTGTTTTAGCTCGCGTAAAGACGCGACGCTTTTTCTTACTGGGCGGGAGAGGAAAGATTGCTTTTTCAGACAGAAGTAGGAATCTCCGATCTGTCTGTGGTTTCACTCGATCTTTCTCCGCATTTTCACCGATGTAGGTTTCTTCATTTTTTCTTCATTCAATTTTAAAGAGTTCATAATATATATTTTTTCCATAATGTTTACTCGTTTTCTCTGATTTGGTAATTGAACGCGATAGTTTAAAATTCTTTTGCCAAATTTTTATGGCGTGATTTTAACTGTTCATTTCTCGGCCGCTTGAATTTGTAAAGAATTTGACTTGGGTGAGATAAAAAATTTTGGGATTTTGCAGGTTTCTTTGGATAAGCGAATTTTGAAAATTAAGTTTATACTAAGCAAAGGTGCAAAGAACAAAACTACATACAAAGTAGATATAATGGGATATATAGGGGCACATGGAGTTGCTGCGCTGCATAGGTACAAGTACAGTGGAGTGGATCACTCATACCTAGCCAAATACGTGTTGCAGCCCTTTTGGACTCGCTTTGTTAATTTCTTCCCTCTTTGGATGCCGTAAGTCCCTTTTTTATGTTTTATGTTTCATTCCTCATGTCATTTTATGCTCAAGTAAATTGCATGTCTAATTGTGATTGTTTTTATGTTAAAAGCCAAAAGATGCACTAATTATGTCTTAGAAATATCTTAAGGTAAAAGTTACCATACCTTTCTTAAGATAATTTGTGATTGAAAATCTTAGTCAGTTTTATCTGCAGCATACATGAATGGTTTGCTTATGTATTTCATGGAAAAAAAAAAAAAAAAAAATTGAGTACCAAACAGGGAAGCTATTGTTTTGGCGTGATCAGAACATTAAATGTTTAAAATTTCTTAGGAGGGCTAACCCCTCTTTTAATGTGCTTCTGATCTCTGTTTACTGAAGCCTTCTGATATCGAAACTTGTCTTATGTATAAGGTACATAAACATTAATTGGCAATAATATGAATTAATGAAGTTATTTTCTCCAATTAATGGCCTAGGGTATTTCCCTTTTCTGTTATTTCACCCATAATTTCGCAACGTCTGACTTTGTATGAAATGGAAGGAAATAGTTTTATTGTCGATGGGACTGGGCTTTTCTGGAATCAGTCTGGTGCATGACAGCTTTTTCTTAATGTTTGATTTTGTTCTAAAAGACAAATTCTAAGTGTACTGGATTTAAGTAAGTCTATCAGCGTTGGGAAGCCTCTCATTGCACCTCCTTTTCTGTAAATGGGTAGTTATAATTTTCTACAACAAAGAGATTCTTAGTGCTTTGTGTAATCCAAATTATTTCCATGAGCTTCTGTATAAGTTATTGTGGAATATCTGTTCCTATCTTCCTTTGTATATCACTAATTGTTCTCCTCCTTTTTGTGCATGTATGGGACGATTTCAGACCTAACATGGTATGTGTTCTTGCAAACTATCTCATCCTATTTGAGTATCAACTATAGCTCATATATTATTCTTTGCTTGTCACTCATAACATTATGCTGTATTCATTTCATGTACCAGATAACACTTACAGGATTCATGTTTTTGGTTATATCTGCATTGCTTGGCTACGTGAGTAATCTCTCTCTCTCTCTGTGCGCGTGCGCGCGTGAATCAAGTGGTCTTTTACCAAATAACATGCTTATCTTATTTCAATTGACTGAATATTAACTGTTGAAATTCAATTCCTTGACTGTTTTTCATTCTTTTCCTTTTTAGGGTTTTCTTATATTAGAATATGCATACCAAGTGGCATTCTCTTTAAAATTAATTTACATAGATAATTTTGGCATTCCTTTTTCCCATGTAATTTCTTGTAGTTTTTGTATTTTAAAGTTTCATTTTGTAACTTCTGGAGTGTAGCTTAAGATGCATGTAGGTTGTTGCGGTCTTTGCTTCACCATCAAATCTTGAAATTTCAATTGTATGAATTTTCTGCTCTCTGCACTCTCAGTTTAGTGTTTCCTCCTTTTTCTTCCTTGGTTTGGTTTTATTGCGAGGGGATATGGGTAATGGTAGAAATAATTATTCTAATGGGGAGTCATAGTTGTCCATGTTTATTTTTTAATTATCATTAATTTTTTTCTGGACACTCGCCACTCTCTCATGAACTTGGCACCTTCTTCTCATGTATAGACGTTGAAAGAAGTAATTGCACATATAAAGTAAAAAATTTATATAAAGTAAATAATATTTTCCCTTGTTTACTGTATAAACAGAAAGCAATGCTCAATGGTATGGTTTCAGTGATTTAGTCCATTGTAATCAGGAAGAAGATATTCTGTTTCTAGTGTCATGAATAGAATCGGGATTGTGCTATTTTCAAGGCTTTTGAGTGTATCAATTATATGACAGTACGAGTTGAATGCGGTGCTTAGATATGATTGATAAACAATTTTGAAGCATGTGCAATCAGTACTTAAAAAGTTTACTCGGTATTCAGACTTCAAATTTCACTTTTCAGTTTTATCAAAAGCTTTCTAAAATTATCATTCAGTATTCTTATTCTAAACAGATCTTGAGCTGTTTCATGATATATCGCTTAGTCTTCTATAAAACAATTGTTTGATTATTTATTAGGACGTAGAGATAATATTCATAAAGTACATCTCGATGAAACTGTTGTATTTCTTTTTGCATTTGTCTTAATATTTTGATAATTGATGGTGACTTGGGTCTTGTTCACTCATAAATACACTGCATTTCCGTATGGAAGTGTGCTAGTTAAAACTTTGTCTATAGAAATAGTTTAGGAATGGAGAAAGATTAATTATATGGAGCGTTATTTAGAGAATGAGTCTGTATTTTATTATCATAATTTTTATAAGCCTCATGTTTAGATAGTCACCGACTTACGGTGGGCACGTGTTCAATCACTGATCTATACGAATCCCTTGGAAGAGATCATCTGAATTTTTTGATGGGGAAGTGGTACATAGTACCATATACATGCGCCTTGCCTCCTTTCAGCCTTTCAACTCTTTGGTTGATGTATGTTATTTAGATGACAAACCATCGTGATAGTTTTTGTGCTAATGTAGTGGCAAATCGTTCTATTTTGAAATATTAGTTTTGTCGTTGACATTTTTCTTTTGGGTGTTGGGTATTCTTTTCTCATTGTAGATGCTTCTTTTGCAGATATATTCACCTCAATTGGATTCACCTCCTCCAAGATGGGTTAATTTTGCCCACGGATTACTTCTATTCTTATATCAAGTATGTTCAGGTTTCTGTAAACACCATTTCAGTTTTTATTTGATCAAACTGTCTTTGATTGAAGGACATGTTATACCTTAAAGTAAATTACGCAAATATGGTATAGAGGATAATTCTATTTGCAGTACAGTGTTTTCGTAATGATAATAGTTTATGAGGTTTTAAGTTGCAATTTGATATCCGATTTACATGTGGTATGACCATGTTCTAGATTCTGTGATATCCATAGGGACAATACTCTAAGCATTTATGACTTATTTACTTAACCTGTAAAATCATGAGTTTTACTTTTTGCTTGCTAAATGCCTGGACTTTTTAGATATGATTTTGACCGAGAGCTCCTTCCTATCTTCAGAATTTCTTTTAACTTCTACTTCTAAATACATGCAAGACTTTTGATGCTGTTGATGGAAAGCAAGCAAGAAGAACAAATTCCTCTAGTCCATTGGGGGAGCTATTTGATCATGGTGACATTTCTTTTATTTTTATTTTTTTCATTTTTATCTTGTTCTTTATCACTGCCTTCTTATTGGTTTTTATGTTACATGATTGCTATAGTCTTAACGAATATATCTGCCTCTGCAACATTTCAGGATGTGATGCTCTTGCATGTGCGGTACGTTTGAGATTTTTAGTTATTTTCTAAATGTTATGGGGTGACATTAGTACTAAGTTCCATCGTGAATGTTTAAGTTTGAGGCTTTGGCCTTTGGGAGCACCGCAATGTGTGGACGGCTTACATTCTGGTTCTGGGTTATATCAGCTGTTCCTTTTTACTGCGCCTCATGGGAACAGTAAGTGGACAACAACACTGAATTGCATGAGTTTGTTTTTTCATTTGTTTTCACTGTTAGCAAGTATAGAACCTTTGCTTTCTCCTCCCCTTTCATCTCCTTTAGTGGGAAGCATTAGTAAGTAATTTTTTTCTACATGTCCTCATGTAAATCTGGTTCAATATGGGTCCTAAAGACATGGGAATTATATTTCGTTAGATAAAATAAACTGAAGCAAAAAAAATGATATTTTCCTTAATGATATAGGATAAAACTTACAAAATGCAGTCTGGACTCTCAAACAATTGCTTTGTTTTTTATGCACTTCTATATTTTTAACGATTGTTATGATGTTTCAACGTTCATTTTTCTGGATTTTGTATTCTTTTTTATGGAAATTTGCATGTTAATTATTATTTCTCACCAAATTACTCTCAAAATTCTTACGCCTTCATTAATTTGCTTGATGTTGCCTTATCTGTGCAGTTATTTCACCAATACCCTCATTCTTCCAGCGATAAATGGACCTACCGAAGGCCTTATGTTGATATATGTGGTTCATTTCTTCACAGCTATTCTCGGTAATGCTTTGGTCTCTTTACTTCTCTAAGGGTCCGCTCGATTGCAAAGATGAAATTCAGGGAATTGAATTGCTTAGAAGTTGTCAATTATTGTGTTTGATTGGTATAATTTTTCACGTGAAAAATGTTAAAATAAAAGTGTTTTTTGGTGTTTGTTTGGCTTTATTTTACATGAAAATTGTCAATTAAAGGTATTTTCAACCTTAGAGCATATATTAACTCCTATTTCTTTTTCGATCGTTTCAATTGGGTAGAATTTACTGGTATTGGGGATGAAATTTGTTTATATTGCCAAAAAAAAAATAAAGAATAGCCAAGATAATCACCTATTTTTAGTTGTTCGTTTGACTTTGTTTTATATGAAAATTGTCAATTAAAGGAAAATATTTTTTTACAATTAGCGATAGAATTTGTTTCCATTGCAAAAAAAAAAATGGTGGGAATTGATTTTCAAGGAAAAGATGGAAAATGTCTAGGTGGCAAGAAAAGTGGGAAAATCAATTCCATGGAAAAAAATACTATCAAACAGCCAAAAAGTGGAAGCTAGAATTTGAACTCCATTTTTCATGGAAAATAATTGGCTATCAAACATGGCCTAAGTGCTTTCGTTCATGTGCTTCTATTTATCTACATGCACCCATACATAATGATTTGAGATTCTATGCTTCTTTTTAGGTTCTGAATGGTGGGCCCAGCATTTTGGAAAATGTATCCCTTTCTTGAGTTGGATTCCAATTATAAATGGTAAGTCTTGCACAGTAAAGAGAGAGAAAAGGAAAACAACAATGGCTGATTATAATCAAAACAAGTTTATCGCTCAAATTTGCATGTTTCATTTAATTATATTGTTCTCTATGTTGTCATTTGCCAATTATTATGGTTATAAGTTTTTTTGTTTAGCATTAGATTGTAAAGCTAGGCTGACTGTTCCTGTTTTGGTATTTTAGTGTATTCATCATTGTTCCAAGGTTGACTTTGCACCTTTCTATTTCTTATTTTTTATATGATATTTTGAATTTACATCCTATCATCTCTTTCCCTTTTGTCTATCTACAGAGGTCCCGATGTATAAAGCCGTATTGTTTCTGATGATAATCTTTGCCGTTATACCGACACTCTCATTTAAGTGAGTATTTTCTTTAGTTAATAGGGAAGGAAGCTATTTTATCCGTTCTTTGGCAGGCAGTTTCTTATATGCACTGGAGTATCTATTTTACACTCCTCAGGTGTTCTATGCTTCATAGAACTACTCTTCAATTTCGGAGAAGGTTTTAAGTTTGTTTTACATCATCTATGATGCCATTCTGAAATTAGATTTATGTATTTCAGAGAAGGGTTTAAGTTTATTTTACATCTATTATGCCATTTCTGCAATTAGATTTATGTTAGTTGTCCATAAAAAAGGAGTGTTTTACCAAAGAAGTAAATAAATGAAAAGAATCTGCCAGAAATTGATTTTTCAGTCAATGTTTTTATTGCTAACCCTTGCCTTCTTAAATTCAAAAGCAAGATGTGTGTAAAAGGAACTTTTGATAATTTAAATTAGTTCTTATTGTTATTGTAAGCATTTCGCTTAATCATCTTAGAACACTGTCTGAGCTCTAGTTCGCTTGTTGCTTCTGCATTATCTTTGTGTAATAGCAAGCTTGACTATGCCTTTTTAAGTTTGCTATGGTTATTTTCAGTGTGTACAATGTTCATAAGGTTGTTCAAGCAAGAAAAGGAAATTTGATGCTAGCTCTGGCAATGGTACTTATATTGGATACAGGGATAATACCTTTTAATATTTCTTTTCTACTTCTTGAATTAATAGCATGTCTTCATTTTTTGACAGCTTTATCCATTCGTTGTGCTATTAGCTGGAGTCGTCGTATGGTATGTCACTTTCTTTCTGGTTTGCCATCATCTTCTTTGCTTTTACTAGATTTTATATGTTCTATTGCTGAGACTAACTTTTCAGGGATTATTTATCTCCTACTGATCTAATGGGCAACTATCCTCATCTGGTTGTAGTGGGAACTGGACTTGCATTTGGATTTCTCGTGGTAAGATATCTATGGTTGATTGTTGGAGCCTTCTCTTCTGCAAGAACTACTGTTATGTTTGAACTGCTGTATATAATAGAATGTGAGGTCTTGTAAATTTTCTTTAGTGCCTAAGAGACTCTATGCTTTGTTGTCAAAATTTGGAACCAAACTCTTGTATTCAGTGAGTGTGACTGTTGAAATGCTATGGTTTAGGTATATTCTGTCATCGTGGTTCATGTTTCATGCTTGTGCTATCGTATAGGTCACTAAGTTGGTTTGTGTGCCTGTATCCTTATGGATAATGAACTCATCTCATTGTTATTGCTAAGAAAACATTGTTTCGCAGGGAAGGATGATTCTGGCTCACCTGTGTGATGAACCCAAGGGCTTGAAAACTAATATGTGCATGGTACGCATCTTCTGGTAACATATGGTTGATAGACTGGATACTTATTATTACATTTTGTAGTTATGTTGCCTGAACTTGCATTATATTTATGTTGGTGCTTCTTGAGCCTTGACTTGTCAATGGGATAGAGTTCAAAATACCATCAAGTTCTGTTTAAAGAGAATGTATAGATAATAAAATTGTGACAATGGCTTGGTGCACTTTAGATTCGTTGTTTCTGCATATTGGCGTGCATGGCTTCATTTTCCAATTTAATTTTTAGAATTGAGATTGCCTTTAAATTTGAGAAGTATATTAATTTATCACATCAAAGCCACAGGTATACTGGATCCTTTCTGATTTAATGTTATCTTTTGCAGTCTTTGTTTTATCTGCCTTTCGCCATTGCAAATGCACTCACTGCCAGACTAAATGACGGGTGTGATGGCTTCTCAGCTTATAAATTTCTTTACTGCTCACATTTTGAACTATAGCTCTGAGGATCTTTAATATTTTATTTGATTTCTTATCACTCATGAAATCTTGTTATTGTCGCAGAGTTCCTTTAGTTGATGAGTTCTGGGTTCTTCTTGGTTACTGTGCATACACAGGTAGGGCATTTTCTGCATTAATGAGTTAATGTCCATTCAAGCATGCATATATAGTGGGACATCGTTTAAGTTGCTTCTTTTTATATACCCTCACTCTTAAATAGAAAGGAGTATCCCAAAGATGTCTTTTTTAATTGCTAGTTCAGATATTCAATTTCAGTTTTTAATTGTTTTAGTGAGTTGCACTGCTTGTTCTTGGAGTTTATTTGGTATTTACTGGGCAATTTTGGCTTATTATCCAAGATACTTTTCATTCTTTGTACGGCTTTTCCATTTACTGTTTACCTTCACCTTCTGCATTATGTTAATTGTAACATATTGTTTTTCTTTTGCTGTACTCAGCATCACTCTATATGCACTTTGCAACATCAGTCATTCATGAAATTACATCAGCCCTGGGAATTTACTGTTTCAGGTGAGATGTTTATTCTTTGATGTGTCTATTTTGAACAGCCCTTTTAAAGGTTTATATAATTTTGTGAAGACAGTTTGATTTGACTTTAGGGATCTCCCCATATTGACATCATAGTAGATTCAAGTTTTCAGTCGGGACAAATTGATATTAATCCTCTATTATACATCCAAATTCGTATAGGATGTGGGTTGATTGTCAATTCTAGAAATAAACCTGCTTCGAGATGTCTATGCTGAGTGTCTACTACGAAAGAATTGCCCCTTTTTTTAAAACACATTTCAATGTCGAATGCAGGATAACTAGGAAAGAAGCTTGAAGCTTTGATTACATTATCATTTGAGTGAGTGATCAACACTTTATCCTTTCGTGGTTTGCCTTCGGGTTACTCCCACCAATATATTCACTCGTCCCATTTTTTTGTATCTTATGGTTTCTAGGTATCGACTCAACTTCCAGAAAACATTCTCTAGGTGAAAACTCTACAGAAAAAGTCGCGAGATTGGAGTCTAGCGGATACCCCTTTTTTGGTCGAACATTTTTCTCTTAACAAAATTTAATAGCTGGTGACAAGGATTTGTTCAATTACTGTTCAGGTAGTAATCGTTCAGGTAGTAATCGCTGCTAATCATGAAAGTCAGTCACTTTATCGTAATTTATCTATGAGGAATCTGTTGCCGTACTACTTTGGTTAGACATGTTTTGCATAATGTAACGTGTAGTGCGCAATATTTGGTGCACAATCTGATATTATTACAAAGAATAGGAAATATGATGCAATACAAAAAGAAGAGTTCATGGAAAAGTGGTGTTTGAGGTCGGGAATTTTTATTATTATTATTTTTTTGAAGTGTCGGTTTTTAAAGAATTCTGTGCCTATTTTGAATTGAAATAACATAGCATGCAAAACTCCGGCTTTGCCTATGATGTGCGGTCTATTTTGGTTCAATTCCATAGTTTAGGGTTTCGAAAATAAAATTTTCGTTATTTTGGATAATTTTCTTAATTTTTATAAAATTAGGATTTTAATTTTGTTTGAGTTAGTCGTTATCTTTAATTTTTATCATTATTAAGATTTATTCGTTGTATAAGAGTTATTATTTAGATTTTATTTACTACTATGTATACTAGTAAGTCTTGTAACAATTAGTTGATTTGATTGTCAAAGCTTCTCGAATATTCTCCTTATTTATTCATTTATTTTTTTAATTTTTTGGACATTTGGGAGAGAATCAATAAATTTGAATTTTTCGTGAGATTTTATTCTTTCCTATAAAAATGCCAAAGGGATAAGCTATTACAACAGAAAATGAATTACCGAAGCTCTGCCTATGAAAAATGGTCAGTACGTTTACAACCAAAGTAAACACAATTAATAATGCCGTCACATTCCTGCAGCTTGTGACAACACACTGCATCTTTTGCTGCACCATGAAAAATTGTGACCTTAGCTTGCTAACTGATGTATAACGTAATTTAACCTTGTAATGGCTTCAATGCGATCAATCGGGCTTCCAATTTCCTTTGCCATTTTAGTATGGTCTGGATATGCAAAACAAATGACGTCCGTGTAAGTGTTATACTTTAGGTTCAATCAACTTTATATATAAATACTTTTAATATATAATTTATGTAATTTTATGGTAGATCTATTATTTAATTAATATTCAATTGAATTAAATAATAGAGTCCTTAAATTCAAATCTTGATAATTTATCAATCACAAGGAGTTGTGATTGTGAGATACAAATTACATATGATTGAATTTTAAATTGTCCGTGGTCGTAAGTAATAAGAAGATACAGATATCATTATTACGGATAGATCATCACGTGTGACATTTTTTATTTGTGAGTAAGTAACTGAACTCACAAGTTAAAGTTTGGTGACACTTGAATGAATACGTAGATGTTTTGTTAGATATTCCACATGGATAATTATTTCAGTGTCAGTAGTTAATTTCTAACGTTCGATAGTGGGATTGATTCTTTGACTTGATGTCGTCATAGTGCCTTATATAAAGATAGTCATACTTAAATGGTGTTGGATGTTGCTCTGTCAAGGGCATTAATACGGCATCGTTCGAGTATGTCAAGAATCGTATGAAGGTTGTGAATGACCAATAGAGAATTCGTCACTCTTAGATAGCAAGAGATTATGATTTGTATTTCATTCAATTAAGTCGATAACGAAATCCTTGACCAATGTGTACTCATAAGTCGAAAATGAGTTTTTGACTTATACTGATTCAATAGTGGAATGAAAGATATGATCGGTAATCGGGATTGACACACTTTCGTATCTCGTAATTGATCAGATCATATTGACGAATGGATTATAGTTTCACGGTAAAGGAACAAATTTGATTTTGTCATACCACGTGACATTTTTCGTCATATGTATTGATCTGACACATTGCTAGATGTCAATTTGGGACAGTAAGTGTGAATAAATGATAAATTAAAATGGTATTTTAATTTATCAATTTTGATTAAATCAAAATAATATTTCACGTCGTTAGGCATCGTGATCGGGAACCTGATGGGTCACACACAAAAGGAGAACTAGAAGATTGTAATTTGTCAATTAATTAATTTAATAAGCGTTGGATAAATTAATTAATTGAGTTATTTATTTATAGGCCCGAATTAATTAATTCACGAACACGATTTAATTAAATGTGTTAATTAAATATTGGACAGGGTCAGACCAAGCCCGTTTGTGCTTATATAAATAAGTGATTAGGGTTTTCAAATTGTAGAGATTTCTTTATTATTCTTGTAGCACAATAAGAAAATCCTAATCCTACAATCTTGTTCTCTGTGTGGATCACCGTTGGAGGCTGGACAATTCGACAGCTGTGGATGACGAATCAAGATTGTTGAAACGAAATGATAGCAAATAAATTTATAGATCTTGTAAAAGGTACAACTTTTATCACAGTTTTTATCTAAACACAAAGCAGATTCTTGATGGGAATTAAAATCGCTTTTTATTTTCGTTGCGCATGTTTAAGTAGATTACTAACAGTCAGTGTCATGATTTGTTTTATGATTATATAGCAGCCCCCCAGCCATTTTGGCAGTCTCAGTGAATCCTTGTTAGAAAAAATCATTGAACTAGGATTTTTAGAAATTTCAGCTCAATTAGCCCTTCCTTGCCTTCTCTATTTATACACCGAATTGTTACACACATTTTACATACGAAGAGAATATTCTTGTTTTTCCTATTTGCTAGTGACAAGTGTCTAATCATACATAAACATCCTTTAAATTGAGGAAATACACTGATGTGCTGTCAACACTGTTAGTGACATTAACAACTTATATCAAAGTCAAGCTTAGAGTGGTAAAGACACACTCTACCTTGAGAGGGGGTGTTAGGATTGATCTACAAGTCCAAATATTTTTCCTATTTGCTAGTGACAAGTGTCTAATCATACATAAATATCACTTAAATTGAGGAAATACACTGATGTGCTGTCAACACTGTTAGTGACATTAACATCTTATATGGTGAAAAATATTTGGACTTGTCGATCAATCCTAACACCCCCTCTCAAGGTGGAGTGTGTCTTTACCACTCTAAGCTTGACTTTGAAGAATATGAATCTTGAGTGCGAGAGAGGTTTTGTTAGTATGCCTGCTGTTTGATTAGAGGATGAAACAAAATGCACTTCCAATTCCTTTCTTCAAAACTTTATCTCTTACAAAGTGGACATCCAATTCTCGGTGTTTGGTACAGGCATGATACACTAGAATTGATGCCAGTGCACTTGCACTCTTGTCACACCCAGGGACAGACGTAGACATTTTATATTAGGGGGTCACAATCAAACTTTTAAAAAAAGTGATGAAATTTTTTATTACTTTATATAGGTTATAAACTGTTATACTACTTATTCATTTTGATTATTTTTACATCTAAAAAATTTTTATATATAAAAAAAGATTCGATCATTTTTAGAATTTTTTTATTATTGGTACTTATTCCTCTCAATCAATTAATTTTTTTTAAAAAATAATCTAATAAATTTCCTAATAAAATTCTTGACGTCATTTGAAAAAAAAATTAATTGATCGAAAGGAAAAGATAACAGTAATAAAAAAAATCCTAAAAATGATTAAATTTTTTTCAGATATAAAAATAATCAAAATAAAAAAGGTAGTATAACAATTTATAACTTCTATGAAGTAATAAAAATTTTATCAAGAATTTTTACGTCCAAAAAAAAATAAAAATTTGACGTCATATCACGTATAAAATTTCCTAATAAAATGATATAAATTATATTAAGAAATTTGTTGCGCAAAAATAACAAGTATTAATAAAATAATTGATTTTTCTTTCAAAAAAGACGAGTTATACGTCTCTTTTTGGCATACACGTTTGATGTACGTTTAACTATTTTCGATATTTATTTAGTTCATTTGATATGTTTATTATATAGTTTTTGAAATGAATTTCGAAAGGACATAGAAGATTTATGGATACGGCTAGCGTATAATCGTCGAAAAATTTTTATAGTTAACTTGTCATCGAAATTTTTAAAATATTAATTTGGAATGACCTACTTTGACGCGTTGTAATATTTGCTACGATTGGCCATTTCTCACACCATTAACGATGCCATTAACGATGTGAAATATTAGACCGTGAGTACTTCAAAATGATATTAAGAATGTAATATTTTAACTCTGTTTGATATTCCATCGTAAGTCCGAAATCTAAGACAATTTTTTTTTAAAAAAAAACTGAAGGGTCAAGTGAACTTATGGGACCCTCTTTGGGTCTGCCCTGGTCACAACAGATTTTAAAAATTGCATTGTGTGGTATACTTAGCTCTTTCATTAAGGATTGAATCTGAGCTATTTTTGATGCACAGTGAGCTAGTGCTCTATACTCCACCTTTGTGTTAGATCTCGCAACATGTTGTTTCTTAGAGCACCAAGACACCAAACTATCTCCAAGGTACACACAAGAGCCAATTGCAAATCTTCTATCATCTGGGCATGATGCACGATCTTAATCTGCAAATGCTGTAATGTCTGAGCTGTCATTCTTCTGAATAACCAAACCATGTTTTAATGTACCCTTTTAAGTATCTAAATTCTCTTGAGAGCCTTTCAATGAGCATCTATAGAAGCTTGAAGGAATTGACTCATCTTATTTATTGAGTAGGCAATGTTAGTCTTGTGTGTGCAAGATATTGAAGACAGCCAACTGAACTCATGTAGAGAGTAGGATCACTCATGGCTTGCCCTGCATCCTTAGATATCAGCTTGCTTACTGTCAAGGGTTTTATGCCTGGTTTCAAGTTTTCAAAACCAAATTTCTTCAATAAATCAACTATATTTTTGTTTGAGTTGGGTACAGTCTTCTTGTGTCTCTGTAGACCTCAATACCCAAGAAATTACTGAGATTTCCCACATCTTTAAGAGTAAAACAAGCATCTAGTTTATCCATAAACATCTGCAGTTGTTGGCCATTGTTTCCTGTTATTATTATATCATCTGTTGCGTGTTGTCATACTTGGCCAATCCACCTGGGCCAATGGCACACTCAGGCCGAACCACGTGGCACTCCAGCCAGGGTGGCATATATTGCCGAGGTAGGCAATGGCCGAAGCCCTTCAAGCCGAAGTCCACTAGCCGATACGCCTTTTACCGAGGCCTGTGAACGCACCCGAGGTCCACATGCGGAGGCCTATGAACTGAAGCCATGATGTTGAAGCGAATTGAAGATAGCTGAAGCCCTCAAGCGGAAGTATTGTGTGAAATGGCCGAAGCCCCAAAGCTGATGCAGGAGCCTCCGAACCACAAGGGAGTGTCCTCCATGTTCACTTC